AGAGAGAGAGAGAGAGAGAGAGATCTGGTCATCAGCTACAATGAAACACATAATCTTTTGTGACTGAAATTCTTTGGTTTTTTTTTTTCTGCATACCTTCTGGTGTGGTAAAAGGTGAGAATGTATCAAATGATTGATATAAAAAATAAAATAAAGTGAGAACTATGGGGTTATAAATGCATTTCATTATCCAAGTAAACCCACATTGCACAAGTTAATGAAATAGATGGAAAAGAAATAAATGTCACACGTATGTTACCAAAAAGTCACCAAATAGGTTCTTTAGATGCCCTATAAAGAGGTTCTTTACATTGCCCCATAGAGGGGTCCTTTACATGCCCACAAAATTACATGAATATTGAATATTCACATAACCCCAAAGTCAACTACAAAAAGGGGTATTTACATGTCTCCAAAATTAAAAAAATTAGTCAAGTCCTTTACATTCCCCCAGAAATTAGTCAAAAAATTAGTCAACTCAGCTCGTAGTCCTTAGTAGCTCTACATGCCACACGCCCTCATGGGACAGTTACGTTTGTCATGTCCACTCTTATTGCAAACTTTACACTTCGCTCTAGTGTGTGGCCCTTCCTTCAACTTTTTTTTTGCGTAGAAGCTTTTGGCCCTTCCTCCCATGAAGGTTTTATCCTTTTAGACCTTGGTCGTCCAACTGCTCGTGGATATGGTGTATCAAGTATAAGGGGGGAGACATCAACTGATCTAATATTGCTACATACTTCATCTTCAGCGGCACTGCAATGAGTGGAGGCTGATGATGCATGAGTATTCGACAAACTTGTTGGATTGGCCTCTTCAGCTAACTTGGAGAAACCCAACTTCACTTTTTCAAATAGATCATCATTTTCTAATGCTAGCTCTACAATTTTTCTCACAAGATCATAAAGCTCATGGCGTCGAATGAAACTTAAAAATTTAGATATAGCCCAACTACTAGCACCACATTTGTCATTGACAACCTTCTTTGCATCCTTTGTCCAACGTCTCAAAATTTAGTTAGAAGAGATCTTCATTACAATCCTCATGTTGAAGACGTTGAGCATATTTGAACAAGAGATCCCAACACGCACAAAGAACTGACATGTGCATGTACACTTCTTCCATGATTAATGAATGTAACCGTCACACCGCCAATGTCTTCCACCTTATATTTGGCGAATTCATCATTGCCTTCTATTAATTTGCTAAGGCAATTTGAGGACTTTACCACCTCTTCTTGGAACTTTCTAAATACTTTTTGAGTGTATATCTTTGCTGCATGTTCCTCGATAAGGAAGGTTGTCTTTAAAACAGGTGTAGATGTAAGATCTTTATTGTCTTTCTCTTTTTCTTTGATGAACTTCTTGTTTTGCAACTTTTCAATAGCATCCATGAATTTTTATAAACCTGTACTAGAAGTGACATATATCTTTAAATGACGATTAAACCCTTCACTTCATTGTGTGGTTTTCATGCCGGCTGTGAACCTATTGGTTATGTACGACAACCATATAACCACTTGAGCCAACTTTCCTTTTGAAGATCATATTTTTTAATCATAGCCAACCAATCAGCCTCAAACTACTCAACTGTGCAGGCTGCAATACACTTATTGAATACCTCTAAGAATAATCGGTACGCAGACTGAACTTGGCTTAGATGTGTTTTAAACTTTCCCATGATGTGCCACTTGCAATAATGATGATTAGTATTCGGGAAAACTGTCTTGATTGCAGTCGTTATCGCTTAAGCCTGATCAGTGATAATTGTACCTGGTTGGCGGCCTCCCATTTCCTCTAGCCAGTTCTCAAATACCAAATGAAGGTTTCTATAGTCTCATTGAAGATGAGAGCACATTCGAGAAAAATTGTGTTATCATGATAATTAACTCCAAGGATTGAGCCAAAGGGCATATTGTATTCATTTGTTTGGTATGTGGTGTCAAAGGTTACCACATCATTAAAAAATTGCTATGACAATCTACACTTTGAATCAACCCATAAAACACCAAACAACCTTTCCATCTCATCAATCAGAACTCTAGAAAAAAAAATTAGGGTCTAATTCATTCTTTGTATGCAACCAATTCATAACAACATTATCCTCTTTCCCTTTCAGTTGTTTCCTTTTTCTAGTTATGTGATTCTCAAGGACTTTCTCAATGAAAATAACATTTTCTGCCCAACCAGCCTCTTCAATAAAGTAATCTATCATACTCCTAGACTTATCCATAGAAGACTCCAATGTGTAAATCACCTTTTTCACTGTGTTTGGTATCTTTTGATGAGAATTAATGAATCTAGTCTTTTTTGGCATTGTGAGAATATGATTATGTTCTTTTACAATCTTCGCAATAACCCATCTATTCTTCTCATTCTTCTTAATGTGGATATTTACCTGACATTCACATTTTGTGTAGGGGCGAGTATTTTCACTTGCATCATACATCTCACTACGAAAACCAAGCCTACAACATTCTAAAATCCGACTAATTCTTCCACCATGTTTCCATATGGTCCTTCCCTTTGTTATACCAAACCCTACCAATTTTTCGTACTTATTACAATAATCATAAGCTTCATTTTTGTCAGTAAATGCCAATCTTATTGTCGGTTCGATACTTGCACTTCTTGCTAGGGCTACCTCAGCATCTATAACTAACGGATCTCCTTCTCCATGTATTACAACTATGTCCTCATCAGATGGAAAATCATGACAAGCTTCATCGACTATACCCTGAGCACCACACTCATTCCCATTTTTTGAATTAGTAATGTTGAGGGGAGAGAAAGGAGATGCTGATGTTGGGGCATCCATGACACAAGCATAGTATACCCATCCAAACTCCTCCGTTAGCACTGGCGTAGTAATGGGCTGTGTCCGGACCTGATTATTTGATCAAGAGCTACTCTCTCCAATGTCCCCAAGTACATCATCATTTGCATTGTTCTCCTGGAGCTCCTCTAATGCGATTGGACAATACTTTCATAGGTAACCGAATGCCTCAAGAGCTCTTGCTACGGTGGATGTCCTCCTAGTTAATTATAACACCGAATGTTAATTCAAAAAAATAACACAATAATAAATACTAAAGCAATTCAGAGAAAATAAAGACTACAGCTTATCTATCCCATTAATTATAACAGAGAAAACAAAGACTACTGTTTATCTATCCCATACCAGAGATTTTCATTTCTTTCTTTCTTCTCCAAGGATCTGCAAACCAGAAATGCAAGCTCGTATGAAATAACTCTTGTTTTCACTACTCTCAAGCAGAAGACTGTCTAAGAGATACATTCAATAGCCGATTGCAATCACTTATCAATTTTGTTTTTTGTACTACAAGACCCAGGATTACAAGAAGAGCCTCGAATACTTGAGACAAAAGCTCATCTCGCATGAACCTATTTGCACCATTAACAGAAAGTAAACATAAACCCTAAGATTTCATTTCAAACTTCAACTCCGGAACCTAGATCTGAAGCTGAAATTAGATTTTAGTCTATTAAGTGGTTAGATGCTTTGATCTTGCCCTAGGAACTAGATGATCTGGTGGAACGTGTTGCGGGTTTAAAGGAAAACTCAGGACTTGAGACCGCTCTCTCGGGAACCTTGTTAAGAAATAACGGCAGGTACACCAACCAGTGAGAGAGGATTTTGATGTGAGGCGGGACACACCTCATTTGGGTCCGCGATTCACTAGGGCTAACTCGCATGGGTGCCTTCTTAGATCGCAGCAGAAAGTCCCCCTAGTCCTACTACTGGTTTGAAATCACCTCCCTTGACCTGTACTCTCCTGTTTCTGCAATCACATGCACACGATTAATTTACAAGACAAGTGGGCCAAAGAACCCTACCTTGTCTTTGAGGGAATGCACACAGGCGTGCACATTCAAAAGAAGAAAGGGAAGATTAATGAGATGAAGATTGGGGTGATAAAAGGAGAAGGAAGAAATAGAATAGAGGAAAGAGAAGAGAAGAAATAGAAGTTTAACCCGATGGCCAGACTGACACAGTGGTTAGACCAGTACAGTGACTGATTTTGCATGGTAGCAAGATGGGCACAGTAACTCAGACTGGCATGACGCCTTAACTACTCAATGACAGAACCAACACCAACCAACCTAGCACGATGGCTAGTCCAACGTTGCAGTAAGAAAGGTACGGTAACTCAGACCAGCAAGACGGCTAAACTGCCCGACGACGAGACTACCATGACAGTTCTAGACTTAGCCTGTCCTTTGGTCAAATGAGAGAGGAAGAAGAAAGAAAATTAAGAAGAAAGTGAGGTAGAAAAGAGAAGAGAAAAAGGAGTAAGAGAAGAATAGTGAGAGAGAAGAAGGAAGAAAAATAGACAGAGAAAGAGAGAGAGGATAAGAGAGATTGACGAAGAGAGAATGAGAAGAGAAGATAAGAGAGAGAGATGAGAGATAAGAGAGAAGAAAGAAAAGAAAGAAGAGAAATAATGGAGAGATAAGAGAGAAGACAGAAGAGAGAGAAAAATAAGAGAGATTAAGAGAGTAGACATAAGGGATAGAAGAAGAAGTGAAGAGAAGAGAGAAAAGAAGAAGAAGAAAAGAGAAGGGAGGAGAAGAAGAAGAGAAGAAGAGAAGAGAAAAGAAAAGATAAGAAGAAGAAAAGAAGAGAAGAGAAGAGAAGCGATAAGAAGAGAAAGAGAAGGAAAGAGAAGAGAGAGAAGAAGAGAAGAAGAGAAGAGAAGGGATAAGAAGAACAAGAGAAGAGAAGTGGAAAGAGATAAGAGAGGAGAGAAGAGAAGAGAAATGAGAGTAGAGATAAGAGAGGAGAGAGGAGAAAAGAAGAGAAGAGAAGGGAGGAGAAGACGAGAAGAGAAAAGAAAAGATAAGAAGAAGAGAAGAGAAAATAAAAGATAAGAAGAAGAGAAGAAGAGAAGAGAAGAGATAAGAAGAGAAAGAGAAGAGAAGAGAAGAGAAGAGAGAGAAGAGAAGAAGAGAAGAGAAAAGGAGAAGAGAAGAAGAGAAGAGAAGAGATAAGAAGAA